ACAAAGAACGTATTATGTTTACAAACTTCCGGGGCATTCCTTGGTGGGCAAGCGTCTCAAGAAGAACAGACCGATCAACCGAGTCGAATGCGCCTCGGAAATCCAGGAATACTAGAATCGTGGGTCGCTTATACGTATGGCGTTGTTCTAGCACCTGACGCAGTGTGAAGATTTGGTCAATACAACCCCTACCAGGCCGGAATCCCGCTTGCTGCATCGAGTCAGTGTCTCACGAGTTACCGTAAGGCGACGAAGCACAACTGACGCCAACAGTCTCGTTACAACCGGGGTCAAGCTGATCCCCCTGTGTTAACCACACTCACTACGCGCCCCTTTTTTGAAAATGGGCACTATCACCGATTCTCCCCAGTTGTCTGGGACAGACTCCTTTTCCAAATACAAGGTCGTGCCACAGGCAAAATTCCCTGCCCAGTACCTTCACGAATTGATGTGTAAACTATCTCACAGCTTCCAAACACAGAACTGTTTCTGAAACCAAGACAATCTTTCACCCTTCACCCCTTGTTCATGCGTTTCGACGTCGTCGATCATACTTTCATCTTCCTACTTACCGTTATCTTTTGAGGGAGTAAATATTCTTAGCAGTTTATACCATAGGTTTCGTAGCCTATGTTCTTCAAATCTCAGGAGAAGATTGGAGTAACATTTCTTACTTTTGCACATGACTTCGCCTTCGTAAGGATGTCACTTGTCTTGATAAGCAGACAAAGTGCTGTAATCCGGCATAGTGATGTGTCGGAGGTCCGGTATGATTGAGTTGGATGGGAGCACTTCAGTAGCTGGGTTTGGTCAGTTCGATTTGGGAGTGGTTAGTCACTCACGAAGGGGTAATCATAAGCCACACATAGCAAGATGAGCCGTTCGAAATGCAACCTCACGTCTCTCGATCACTTTCAATTTTCCCTTTTGATGCCTCCCAACATACAGCGAAGATCTGACTGGGTGCACGTGATACATCAATCAGACACCTATTGGTACTGTTTTTCGAATATAATTGTTGATCAATGTGAATATCATCCATGCTATGAAATCCATCATGAAATTTGTGGTAATGGAGCGCTCCGTTTGTAAATACCGACCGAACCAAGATTTTCTCACACTTCGAAGAAATGATTGCTCTTCGAGGGTGTTCCTCCGAGAATTATTAGGATTGAAATAACTAGGGTACCCTTATCCACTTTGGAGATATCAGTTACATCACTGAGCCACTAATCTTCCCGTGTATCACGCACTAAGTGCTGATTAACGGAAAACTCTATAAGAGGCTGTCACATGTTTGGAGGGAAGGGGAGGGGGAGGGGGGAGTACGGCACACGCAATATGTTGACGGACTGTGATGAGTTCGTGGGCTACTGTCCAGTACGTTGGTTATTACAACCATTAACAAAATAGTATATTAATAGGGCATGGGAACTTATTCACCCTATGTTGGTACCGTCCTGAAGAGACTAGGCCTTACCGTGTTGTTATGGTTTCTGTGCCTCCACGGCCTATTGGGCTGTACTGGGGGGTCCGAACGACACTCACAGAGTCTCTCATACCAGGTTGGTCAATGGGTAGAGATCTTCTGCCTCTTCTGCCCCCCAGGTTGGGAGTTGGAACATCTGTGGCAACTTGTTCTGTAAAAGTGGAAACACTTGCATTTCCAGCCAGACACCGCTGCCTTGCGGTCAGGTTTCTGAACCAACGGTTTTGGTTGAGAATCCTAGTTGTCCTCCTTCTAGGTGTGGGCCCCCTGACAGAATCCCAGCCCATGTACAACAATGAATTGCATGCACAGGTAAACTTATGCCAAACCGGCCGTCGCGTGGTGCCATCAGCCGGGTTGCCTTACTCGCTGCATACAGCAGGGCGGGTAAGTGGAAACAGGCTACTGCTGACGCCTCCTTTCTCTCTCTCGCAAAGTGCTGTAATCCGGCATAGTGATGTGTCGGAGGTCCGGTATGATTGAGTTGGATGGGAGCACTTCAGTAGCTGGGTTTGGTCAGTTCGATTTGGGAGTGGTTAGTCACTCACGAAGGGGTAATCATAAGCCACACATAGCAAGATGAGCCGTTCGAAATGCAACCTCACGTCTCTCGATCACTTTCAATTTTCCCTTTTGATGCCTCCCAACATACAGCGAAGATCTGACTGGGTGCACGTGATACATCAATCAGACACCTATTGGTACTGTTTTTCGAATATAATTGTTGATCAATGTGAATATCATCCATGCTATGAAATCCATCATGAAATTTGTGGTAATGGAGCGCTCCGTTTGTAAATACCGACCGAACCAAGATTTTCTCACACTTCGAAGAAATGATTGCTCTTCGAGGGTGTTCCTCCGAGAATTATTAGGATTGAAATAACTAGGGTACCCTTATCCACTTTGGAGATATCAGTTACATCACTGAGCCACTAATCTTCCCGTGTATCACGCACTAAGTGCTGATTAACGGAAAACTCTATAAGAGGCTGTCACATGTTTGTAGGGAAGGGGAGGGGGAGGGGGGAGTACGGCACACGCAATATGTTGACGGACTGTGATGAGTTCGTGGGCTACTGTCCAGTACGTTGGTTATTACAACCATTAACAAAATAGTATATTAATAGGGCATGGGAACTTATTCACCCTATGTTGGTACCGTCCTGAAGAGACTAGGCCTTACCGTGTTGTTATGGTTTCTGTGCCTCCACGGCCTATTGGGCTGTACTGGGGGGTCCGAACGACACTCACAGAGTCTCTCATACCAGGTTGGTCAATGGGTAGAGATCTTCTGCCTCTTCTGCCCCCCAGGTTGGGAGTTGGAACATCTGTGGCAACTTGTTCTGTAAAAGTGGAAACACTTGCATTTCCAGCCAGACACCGCTGCCTTGCGGTCAGGTTTCTGAACCAACGGTTTTGGTTGAGAATCCTAGTTGTCCTCCTTCTAGGTGTGGGCCCCCTGACAGAATCCCAGCCCATGTACAACAATGAATTGCATGCACAGGTAAACTTATGCCAAACCGGCCGTCGCGTGGTGCCATCAGCCGGGTTGCCTTACTCGCTGCATACAGCAGGGCGGGTAAGTGGAAACAGGCTACTGCTGACGCCTCCTTTCTCTCTCTCGTTGTAGGCTCAGCACTTAGAACTGATGACTCCGTTCGTCTTCCATCGGTTTTGCGTGCAATATCTGCTCGTCACATAGCGCCGACATTCTCAGGTATCTCGATATCAATCTTTAAGCTTCAACGGCCGTCTATCCTACCCGCCTTGAATGTCCGCTCTCTGAAGCAAGCGGGACAACAGACTGCTCTTACTCTCACACTAGACTCGCTTGGCATTCGTGTTAGCTGTGTCTCAGAAATGAGTATTCAAGATTGAAGCACAGTGATTGAGCTAACTGCCTCATCACTCTCCACTCGCTTCCAGCTGCGTACCTATGGCGATCCAGAGGCTGCTGCGGCGGAATGTACAGAAATTCGTATCGTCCCAAGTCACCAGGCGGGAGTATCCTTGCTGTTGATAGTCGCCTCTGTGCGGTTCGTCTGGCAACGTCTGTGAAGGAGTCTCAGGCGGGAAGCTAATCTCTCTCTGTTTGTCGTATCTCCTTACGGTCCAACTGACTGTAGCTTTAACACCCTCAAAGACTAGTTTTGACTCACTGAATGCCCTTTTGTTGCGAGCTGCAAGCTCAGATGTCGTGGTGGTTGCCGGAGATATGTATGCACAAGTAGGGAGGCCTAAAGCATCTGAGACTCAGTTAAGGGGTCGACGTGGATTGGACTCAGTACGTACGGACAGTGGTGAACGGTTGCTTCAGTGTGTTGGTCGCAGGCTGTTTTTATGCAACACTACTTAAATATCCGAAGTTGTCTCGCCACATGGTGTCTTCAACGGCGTGCCGGTCACGCCGGCTGGCCACCTGCTACCCCCAATCCAAAAACCTGGCCTTCAACAGAAAGGTGAACCGTAAATATGGAGCCGCCTTCAGTATCAGAAGTGTCCGAATGCATTTCTCTACTCAAGCGTTATCGTGCTGCTGGTCCTGACGACCTTCCACCTGCTCTTTTCAAGGATGGCGATGGATTCCTCAGCTAGTGCCTGTCTAGCCTATTTGGGTGTATCTGGGAGAAGGAGACCGTCCCAGACAACTGGGGTGAATCGATAGT